AGCCCCGTGTGGTGTGTGGTGGGGCTGGGGCGGCGGCTGCGGGGGCCCTGGGACCTGCCTCCTCTCCTGCAGCTGGGCGCCGGGCAGACGCCCGGGGAGCTCCTCAACCCGCTGGTGCTCAACGCGGTGCTGCGCAAGGCGCTGCAGTACAGCTTGCATGGGGACTCCCCACTGGCCGCCAACCTCTCCTTCGCCCTCAAGTTCCTGCCGGAGGCCTTCGTCCCCAACGCTCCGGATGTGCTGAGCTGCCTGGAGCTCAGGTACAAGGTCAGCAGAGCTAGAGGTGTGGGGGGCTGGGCTGGGCCGGGCCTCCAGGTGTGCTGAGTCCACCCCCTGCAGGTTGACTGGCCCCTCAACATCGTCATCACCGAGAGCTGCCTGAGCAGGTACAGCGGCATCTTCTCCTTCCTGCTGCAGCTGAAGCTCATGATGTGGACGCTCAAGGACGTGTGTTTTCACCTCAAGCGCACAGGTGAGGCCCACGCCCCTGCCCCTGCCCCTCAGCTTCTGGTGTTGGCCATGCAGCAGCTGTTCTTCCCTCTGCGCAGCTCTGGTGAGCCCTGCAGCCGGCTCTGTGCAGTTCCGCCAGCTGCAGCTGTTCAAACACGAGATGCAGCACTTCGTGAAGGTCATCCAGGGCTACATCGCCAACCAGATCCTGCACGTCACCTGGTGTGAGTTCCGGGCCCGGCTGGCCACGGTGGGCGACCTCGAGGAGATCCAGCGCGCCCACGCCGAGTACCTGCACAAGGCCGTCTTCAGGTGAGGCGGGCAGAGGGGAGGTGTGGCGCCAGGGTTGCCCTGAGGCCGGGTCACCCACCGGCGGCATCGCCCTTGCTCCCCAGGGGCCTGCTGACGGAGAAGGCGGCTCCCGTCATGAACATCATCCACAGCGTCTTCAGCTTGGTCCTCAAGTTCCGCAGCCAGCTCATCTCCCAGCCCTGGGGCCCAGCCGGTGGCCCCCACGGCGCCGAGCACCCCAACTTTGCCCTCATGCAGCAATCCTACAACACCTTCAAGTACTAC